TTAAAAATATATTTTGATATGTGTGGAATGACTTGACCTGTTTCCCCACAATTCCCGATGCAGTCAACAGTTCTTTGACTTGTCCGCACTACTGACTGACCATGAATCAAGTTCTGATTTGAAGCACCCACAGAATTTTTGGAGGCCCTCAAGCAAGACACATTCAGTGGGGCCACCTCGTCACTGCCACCACAACCCCCACTCGCTTAACCTCTTCCTCTACACCAGAGCTAGGCAGCTGCTTCTTTCCCCCTTCAGCCAGTGGGAGAAATCCAAAGGGAGAAGGAAAGTAAAAGAGTCAGCAAGGAGGCCAGACATCAGCAGTGAGTGGCCAAGGGCAATGGTTGGAGCATGAGCCATGGCAGAAGGAGTCTGGCCATGTCAACCCAATCCTGGCCCTAGGCATCAATAACACATATCTGGCCTACATTGGCACTAAAAACCAATGGACCTCAAAGTGCCAGGGAAATCCCATTCCATGGAAAAGGAATGAATTGGTTTGAAGTAGAGCATATATCATATCATGCTACACAAAGGCATATTATGACTTCTGTTCTTCTCCTACTGTCTCTGGTTCCATACAGATTCAGGTTGGTGGCTATGTTTTAAAATGTTTGTTATGGTGCTATTTCCAGTTGCAAAAACTGGAAAAAGAATATGGCAATTTTGTGGAAAGTATTTTTTTAAAAAATATAGGTCCTAAAAAATAGGGGGGGTTATTGGGTTGTTGTTCTTATTTTGATTATATATATTGTGGTGTTTTGTGTTGATCTTGTTCTGTGAACAACCCTGAGACCTCCAGGTGTAGGACGGTATATATATTTAAGCTACCAGCATGAGTTCGACCAAACTGCAGGAGGCAGTGGAAGATAGGAGTGCCTGGCGTGCTCTGGTCCATGGGGTCACGAAGAGTCGGACACGACTAAACAACAACATCATTAATAATAATAATAATAATAATAATGCAGTTTTAATATGGAAGCAACAGAGAGTAGATAATAAACGGAATCAACGTTGCACAAAATAGCAGAGACTTGACCCGCAGTATAACCGTATCCTTAATGCTTGCCTGCACAGAGCTGTTGCACTCTTTTGAATCCCCACAGGCTATACAGCACAGAGACAAGCTCCTAACTGCTACTGGAAGTCCCCCTTCTGAAATCATATCTTGACTGAAGTGTATGCAGGAAGTGTCAAGGGAACTTACACAGACCAATGTTCTGACGCATGTACAGCCTGGCTTGCTCAGCCCTGAAATGTGGGCCTCTGTCATGAGGTAAACATCATGCCCCAAGCATTGAGCGTTAGGTGCAAATATCTTCCATATTCATAATTTTTCTAGTTATCACTGGCTCTGGCTCTGGCTGTGTGTGTGTGTGTGTGTGTGTGTGCGCGCCTGTAACAAAATTCAACTTTCTGGGTGGTCTAGAATTAACTTAATTATTTGGGGAAAATGTTCAAGCTCTCTCCAGGTGTTACAATTAGGAATTAAGCAAACGTAAGGGAAAGCAGAAGGGATAAGCAACTACCAGCAACACCAGGCCTTGCTGTTTCCATCGCTTTCCAATTCATGGGGGGCAATCATGATTTTACATGCTTTAGAGACTTGATTTTATGGGATTCTAAAACATGTAGAGAGCCTTGATGTGTACAGAAAGCCTGCTTCAAAAGTGACAAGAACAGCATTAAGAAGGGGAATAGCTAACATGTTTGTTCCTGAACCACCCTCACCCACATTTCTACTTAACTCCTAGTGATTATTTTATCTCCAGTGCTGTTGAATATCTATATGAAGCCTCTGGGAACGGTCATTAGGAGTTTGGGGGTAAGGTGCCATCAGTATGTTGATGACACTTGGTTCTATTTCTCCATAACATCTGAATTGGGAGAGGCCATGCAGTCCCTGGGGCAGGGTTCAGATGCAGTGGTGAGATGGATGAGGAAAAACAAGCTGAATTTGTATCCTGGCAAGATGGAGGCACTGTGAGTGATTAGTTCCCATGTCTGAAAAATAGGTCAATTGCCTATCCTGCATGGGGTGGCACTCCCCCGAAGGAGCAGGTTCGCAGTTTCGGGGTGCTTATGGCGACGGCTCTGTTTGGGTAGCCTCTGTGGCTAGATGTGCCTTTTGCTAACTGCAGTTGGTATGTCAGCTACAACCATTCCTGGACCAGGAAAGTTTGGCAACAGCATGCAGTGGGAGAATTAGGCCAGAGCAGAAACAAGCAAGACTGTCTATGTAGTTCCAAAGTACAATAACGTGTAGCCACTTTCTGAGTTTGTCTCAGCAGGACCAAATAGATTGGCATCCATCTCTCTCGGGAGAAAATTGGAGAGTGCACCTTTGGGGGTGAAATTGAACCAGTGCCTGCTTTGACTGTAGAGGCCGATATGGGAGAGACATGTTTTGTTGCAGCTGGGGAAGATGAACATGTCTGGTCATGCAGCTGCAAGTGTACCACGGCGTTTCTTCTTTCTGCACTCCTCCCAGCTGTCATTCCTCCACTGCTGTGGATACACAAGCTGTCACGTGCTGACAGCTTCTAGGAGCTAGGTGAGAGCTGAGTGCAGCGTGTATGGTGTGTCTATTTGGACTGTGTCCAAAGGAAACCCTCCTCCAGGGTTTGTGCTGATGGGACCCATTTTGTGACCCCTGTGATATACCTTTGAGGAACACTCAGAACACATTCTTTCCCTCAAGGAATTCTGGGAACTGTAGTTTGATAATGTTGCTGGGGATTTTAGGTTTATGATGTCAGAACCATTTAAAAATACTGTGTTCTTTTTATGTGAACTGCCCCGAGACCTCCGGGTTTAGGGCGGTATGTAAATTCAATAAATAAAATACAGGTAAAATAAAAAAACCTACATTTGTTAGGATTATTTGGAAGAAGCCATAACTTTTAAAGTGCTATTACATTGCTTTAAATGCATGGTGTAGATGTGACCAGAGTGACTTAAAAGGGTTCTTGTGGCAAATCTGGACTGGTCCATAAATGTAAGAAATCAATGGCCCCGATTAACAATAGCCCTCCTAACTCAGTTTGAAGTTTCCCTCCATCACCTCTACCTGAGTAATTTTTAATGCAAAGGACTCAACACAAGATGTTTCAACTATCTTCATGTGGGCTACTCTAAGCTAAAGATGGTGAAGTCAGAATTATACCCTTCAAAACCCCCGGTTGCTGATTAAATTAGTAAATAAGGCTGTTCATTTCATGTCCCCATTTTACTTTCTTTTTACTAGCTTCTGTTACTCCAGTTCAGAAGTTTGAACATAAGGATTTGGTTTGTTTCCCTTCTGGCAACAAAATGCAGCCTTGTTCTTTCCGCTCAAAGCTATAGTTTCACTTCCAATCTCAATTACAGGCTTTTATATAAGAAAGGTAATGCATTTTCAAAAGAAATGGTTGGCTACCATGTTTTGACAGTTTGGCTTCAGTAGAAGTATAATTAAACTTCTCAAAAACAAAGCTTTGGAAACTCAATCACACTATTTGCACTTGGGGAAGAAGCCATTCTGTTTTTACTTGCAGGAAGAGAATTAATTTGTCCTTCCCTTTCTGTCGTGAAAGCAAACAGCCGGATTAAGAACAGTACTATTCTAAGCGGTGCATTGCTAACAGGGCAGGAGGGGGGTGGAGGGGGAGGGAAATAACATCTGAAACAGGATAAGCTTTGATGCTACCTATGTGTGACACAGACAGGATTTTTTAAAAAGCAGAAACAACAAAACACCCTGAATGAGTCACAAATTTTGTGCATACCCCTCCCTCACTCCCCTGCCTGCTTCACAACAGCAGGAAGTGTAGGCATGTGTTGTATATATAAAACCCTCAGGCAACAAGTTTTCAAGTATGCTCAAATGGCACTCCCCATCTCCCCCCCCCCCCCAACATACCACATCCCATTCTAATTATGGTTTATAGTGCATCTGCAAGTCCCGAATTACGTGCCTAAGAACTATTTGGCTGGCTCACAGCAAAAATATCTTTTGTTTTTCCTAGTTGCTCGGGTTTTCCTTGAATACAAAGAAGCATGCCTCTAAAAGCACAGGGCGACTGAGTCTGATGCAGTCAGTGGAATGGGCAAGATGTTTGCTTGGAGCCCAGTAACAACAGAAGCTCATGGATCTGGAGGAGCCATGTGGATGCTGGGAGCTTTCTGTTTTTGAGGTGGTTATTCAGTATCTGGAGGGAGATGGATACCATCAGAGCCTTTTGCTGATACTGGGCAAATAGCGGGGAACCCTGGAACTCAAAGAGATTTCAACAAAAAGGGGGGGGGATAAAGGGAATTATGTGAAGCAAACCAGATATCATCAGTAAAGGAGTTCATAAATTCCCCTAACCTTGTTTGGTTATAATCTGAAGGAGGAATGCTCTATTGTAGTCACTGTGTCTGAAGTTCATGCCAAGGAACAGGATGGGGTGGGTGGGAATCTGCCCTAGTAAACGGAAGGCACCATGCTACACAATTGACAAGAGTGAAATGGAAGAACTGGCCTAGATCCCCTCTCTCCTTTACACCAAGATCAGCACTGGGACATGTCTGCGGAAGAGCTTATCTCCCTTAACATGATCCCGCCACAACAATACATGCAGAGTATTAGGCCTTTCCCCTTACTGTCTGTTTTCTTTCTTTGTGCCTTTCTCTCTCGTCTCATTGTTCCTCTTTTTCAAACACTGTTTGATTTGGTCCTCCTTAGGGAAGAACAGACGACTACAGACATGAATTGTTTGGGCACCTGTGGCTTCATCACCACAGTCCCATGACAGAGCTGATCAGTTTAAAGAGCAAAGTTGTAGAGGACAACCCAGGACCAACCTCCTCTTGACATAATGTGGACACCATGTTGCAATGCAGAAGAAGAAAGTCACAGTGAGTCTAATTGAAACAGGGTGGTTAGGAACAAGGGAAGCTGCCTAATACGCAGTCATCCAGCTGTGCCATCTAGTTCAATACTGTCTGCTCTGACTGGCAGCAGGGCTCCAAGGTTTCAGACAGGGTTCTCCAGGGGTAGAACCTGAGACCTTCTGCATGCAAAGCAGATGCTCTGTCACTGAGCTCCAGCCCTTCTGTAATTACAGGTTCACCTGTGAAATTCAAAGCACCAGCTAAGTATCCATGCTCAGGTATATTTGAGGTATCCAAATACTATTTATAATGTTTCATGATAGCACCAGGATAGGAAGTTGATCCAGTATTCCAGTGCAGGGTGGTACTTGGGCATGAGAATGAACAATAGCATATTAATACTAAACAGAGATATGATTCATGGCAAATCTGCTACGTCTTCCTTCGTCCAACTCACAAAAAAATTGAAAAATAGGCACTTAAAGTGCAACTAAACTATGGCACAGTGCATATATACATAACTGAGAACATCTGAAATTAGGGAATGTCAGTAAAAACTAGAAAACACTGAAGGTTTCTCCACAGGCAGTTGTGAATATTCACCAGAAAAAACTACCACCTCCACTCTACCACCACCACCACCCACCCACCCCACACACAAAAGAATGCTTTGGTCTACTCTGATTTATTATTTGTTTACTGTTTTTATTATGCTTTTCTAAGCTTAGAATGAAAAATCAACAGTACACTTTTAAAACTAAAAAATCTTCAGGCCTTTGCCTATGGGGCAAGATACCATGGTTCGTATTTTCTGACTTGAGTCCATTTCCTGTTAAGATCTGCAAGCAAGATCTCCGAACATTATCCATTTTGGATGTGCTCTTGAGAGAATGAAATAGGCAGTTACTTTAAATGTTCTCTCTTTCTACCTTGGCCATATAACAAAGACTCAATTCTGATAGTCATTTTACCTCACCTCTGAAACACTGGAAACATTTTCAATATTGCAGTAATGAAAAAGACTGACAGCTTGCAGAGTACTGAAACAGGCCCTTTATGGATTTTTCCAGAGGTTCCTGCCATTGGCATAAATGTTACAAGACTTCTCTATGCCTGCAAATAATGATTGTCTTTCAGCCCAGCCGAGTGACCCAGACAGACTCTCAGATAATACTGAAGTGGATTCACAGCATAGCTGCATAGAACACATGCAAGGGCTTTCATTTTATTATATCCCATGTTTTGTTTGAAACAAGATATGGGATACAAAAAAAAGAGGATGCCTCAGATATTTTTGCTTCTTTTGCTATCTGAAAGCTTTTCAACGTCAACAAAAATAATACAAAATTAGGTCTAGATAAGCTACAACAGTGCTCTATGTGAAAGTGGGCCCAAAGGCAATTCTACCTCTGTAAGATACATTTGTGTCTGATATGTAGCATAGGAATGTTTGGCTGATAAGATGGTACCTCAGGTTAAGTACTTAATTCGTTCCAGAGGTCCGTTCTTAAGCTGAAACTGTTCTTAACCTGAAGCACCACTTTAGCTAATGGGGCCTCCCGCTGCCGCCGCGCCGCCGGAGCACAATTTCTGTTCTCATCCTGAAGCAAAGTTCTTAACCTGAAGCACTATTTCTGGGTTAGCGGAGTCTGTAACCTGAAGCGTATGTAACCTGAGGTACCACTGTAACTCGGACTAGAAGTATATGTCCTACACTAAAATCTAGTCCAAAGTCTAGATTTGGAAACTCACAAAAAGTCCAAACTTTGAACCTCTTCCGAGTGTTATAAAATGTCTCCCCCCCCCCCATCCCTGCCTGTCTTTGGCATTTGGGTTGAAGTTTTCAAACTTTGAGTCTGTTTCAGTCTTATTTTTTTTATTATGTTTTTAAAATTACATCATAACGTGCTAGGAATTTGAGGGATAGAGTAAGCTATGCTAGGGGCTACCAACTCTCTTCCTTACAGGGCTGCTGTATCTTTAAAAGCTATGTGGCAGACAGAAATTCAACAGGTTCAGCTTGCCCTGCAGGCCAGTGCAAGTGCAGTGCTGTAGAAAACATCAGTGTGATGATTCCTGGGAGTGGGAGAGTGATCATATAACTTCTGGTAAGCTAGAAATCCAAATAAATGAATAAATACTAAAACAACTAATGGTCAGATGTTATGCACTTGTGGGGAAATGCCAGATTCTACCTTCACCCACCACATTTACTTTGCTTGTATATAGTACTCTTAGATAAGAGCTACCCTTGATGAATTATCATGGATGGAATGAAATATTTGAGTGTCCTATGGTTCTAAATCCTGTTTTAGAAAAGTGCAGCATAATGAAGTAGCAGAGTACTAATTAGGATGGGGGAAAACCCTCATCACATTCTCACACATTTGAAGTCTGCCGTTAGTGGTAAACTTGAATTTGCTGTTTTGCAATGTGTGAAACAGCTCTTTCTCTGGAAGTTTCCTGGTGACTTCACTGAGGTGAGCATTACCTAATGCTTAAGAGAACGATCTATAATTGGGACAGTTTAAATTATACTTTAGCCACAATATTGCAGGAGGCCGAGATATAACAGTTTTAGGCAAGCTGCGATATTTCAGCTTGAGTCTTCCATCTCTAAAATGGGGGTAATAACAGTGGTCAATCTTAACCGAGATATTGTTAAGTATCCCTGAGAAAATGGCCATGAAGCGTTTTTAGCACTTGTATGTATAAGTGCTATATAAATATCAACAGGGCAATCCCATGCAAATGTTGTCCCCATCTTTAAAAAGATGGCGTTGATACCAGGAACAGTCCTCGAATGGATAATTAAACAGTCTGTGAGCACTTAGAAAAGGATGTTGTGATTACTAAGACTCAGCATGGGTTTCTCAAAAATAAGTCATGCCAGACGAACCTCATTTCTTCTTTTTTAATAGAGTTACAAGCTTGGTGGATCAGGTGGACATAGTGTATCTTGATTTCAGTCAGGCTTCTGACAATGCTATTTAAGGCTGCATCGACAGAAGTATAGTGTCCAGATCAAGGGAAGTACTAGGACCATTCGATTCTGCCTTGGTCAGACCACACCTGGAGTACCGTGTCCATTTCTGAGTGCCACAATTTAAGAAGGCTATTGACAAGCTAATAACTAAATGACTTTCACATGGAAGATGGAGCAAGCTTATTTTCTCCTGCTCTGGAAGGTAGGTTCTGGTTAAACATCAGGAAGTTGATTCTGCCTAAACATCAGGAAGATCTTTCTGACAGTAAGAGCTGTTCAGCAATGGAACAGACTCCCTCAGGAGGTGGTGGGCTCAGCTTCATTGTAGGTTTTTAAGCGAAGGTTGGATGGCTATCTATACTGGATGCTTTAGTTGAGATTCCTGCATCGCAGGGGGTTGGTCTAGATGACCCTTGGTGTCCCTTCCAACTCTACAATTCTATGATCCTATGTCTGCTCACAATGGGACTTAATCCATGTTAAGTATGGGTAGGATTGCAACCTAAGTGTTAGTATTTATTAGAGGAAACTTGGCATGCCTTTGCTATTTATATTGAAAGTGCTTAGAGTATGAATGGAAGATGGGGTGCTGTAGGGAGGAGAACCCTAAATAGCTGGCTTTCCCAGCTGTTTCTGTGAGGTTTCATTATTTGCAGAGCAGTGGGCCACAAAGGAAAACACTGCTTCTCGGAATGACCCATTTACTTGCTTCATGCCTATACTTTTCTTGTTTTGTGGGCCATCTTTTGCTCTTGCCAAATGGAGTCAAAGTCAGCACTGTAAATCCCGTTTTTTCCTTGTTTCTTGGAAAGCACCACTCGATACCAAGTCAAGAACAACAAACAGAGAGGGTTTGCTTGGGTTCTATTTATGGCAAATCACCAGTAGCAGTTCCAATAACAAATCCAAGGCCAATATTTATGCCAGTTACAAGACTGAGGCTACTGTGCATTTAAAAAAGGGGGTCAACACAGTTGCTTCAGTAAATGTGTCACCTAATATAGCTTCTCTTTTCATTCATTTTAAGATTACTTCCCTTCCCCAAGTAAAATAAAGGTAGGCAGCAAGGGCCTTGCAATAAATGAACGCCCTTAAGGCTGTATTGAATTGGTTAGGAGCAATAGTTTGATTTTGTATTGAAAAAAGGAAGTTAAACTTGTTGGTTTTTCTTTATCTTAAAGTGGTCAATGATGCTACGCAGGAACAGGGTTGGTTAATTGAAGCTCACAGGTATATGTTTGCAGCTTGACCTACTTAGCTGCACACCTGTGGTCTCTTGACTTTTTGCCTAATTAGAAAGGGGAGTTACTTTCTGCACTGGATGCAGGAAGGGATGTGATAGGATAATTGATTATTTGAACTGTATTTAAGTTGATCAAATGTTTTGTTAGCTGCTGGTGAGGGGTAGTGATGGCTTGCAGTTTTGGGCTGTTATCTTTTTGAAAATAAAGCTAAGCAAAGATATTGCAGACAGCCTTTTATTTATACACTCCAGTCGCTGCACACACTCTGTGTTGGAGAAAAAGTCCAACAAAACTCAGTAAGGAAAGCAAGGGTCAGCTACTGCACATAGAATAAATACAGATGATCATTTCTACTGCTATCTTAAAATGTACAGGCCACTTCTCTGAAAGTACGAAGAGTAATGGATTTGGGGTTTTAAAAACATTTTGTGTGTGATCTCAGTGCACATGAAAGGTGCCAGAGAGGCAGTTCAGAAGACAGAAGTTGTCTGTTTGGCTACAAGCTAAGACAGGATTGACCGGCATTGTTTTCTTCACTTCCACAGATACACCTTGACCTTAAATGTGATGAAACCCGCAGGCCTATTCAGTTTGTCTGAGGACAGCATGAAAAATGGAGGGCTTTCCCTCCCTTTCTCCTGAGGCAGTTGTTTTTGAGCACAAGGCTAGTCTGAGACATTTGGCACATGATGTGGAACCCCCACATATGGCAAAAATATACATTTTTAAAATGTAATAATAAATGTAAATATATGTTTACATTATTATATTACATTTACATTGAGAGTCCCATGGACTGCAAGAAGATCAAACCTATGCATTCTTAAGGAAATCAAACCTGAGTGCTCACTGGAAGCACAGATCCTGAAGCTGAGGTTCCATTACTTTGGCCACCTCATGAGAAGAGAAGACTCCCTGGAAAAGACCCTGATGTTGGGAAAGATGGAGGGCACAAGGAGAAGGGGACGTCAGAGGACGAGATGGTTGGA